TTATTATTATTATTATTATTATTATTATTATTATTATTATTATTATTATATATTGTTTATGAATGATAAAAGAAAATGGATGAGAGAAGAAGAGAAACGAGGGGAAAGAAAAATTTTTCTTTAAAAAAATTGTAAATTTCTGAACTCTCTTTCTCTCTCTCTCTCTCTCTCTCTCTCTCTCTCTCAACGTATATGATATTGAAAAAAAAAAAGAAACAATTTAATTACACTTGTAATTACTTTTCTGTTTTGTTTGTAATGGCGTTAAATATCAACGAGCGACGAAAAAATGTTAAAATGATGAAATAAATCGTTAATTCACTTTGGCCTAAGGTCCGATCGATAATATTTTAATGATATATATATATATATATATATTATATATGTATAGAGTACGTACGTGTAATGTTAGAAAGAAACTCTCTGTTTATTTTGTTTCCAAATCATCGATGTTCATTTTTTGTTATCCTAAATTACTAATTTTTCTTTTTCCCCCCAAACGGGTGTGTTCGTTAAGAGAAAAAAAATCTTGAAATTGCAATAGTAATAATAACATTTAAGAATAAAAGATGATGGTTCTTCGAACGAACGCTTTTTAATCTCTGTGTATAAAGGAAAGAAAAATATAAGAAAGAAAGAAAGAAAGAAATAGAGAGAGAGAGAGAGAGAGAGAGAGAGAGAAAGAGAGATAGTAAACAAAAATCTTTTAATGGCCAAAAAGTGTGAGGTGTACTTCGGCAACCCCCTAATTAAAAAAGATAAATAAATAACTAAAAATAAAATAAAATAAAATAAATTAAATTAAAATGAATGTGAATTGTATAATAAAGCTATCTTTACGGTTAACAGTGCATTCACTCATAAAACACGAGCATACAAGACACCCGATAGCTATATAAATATATACATATATACATATAAATAAATATATATATGTTGTTGACTCCATTGAAAGTATGATAATATATAATGAATATTAATGAAAATATAATGGCGCAAGCATAAAATATACAGAACTATGGAAACATTATTAATATAATTGCGAGAATGTAACAACAAAAGTCGTGTACATCGTAAGAAATAAAAAGATAATAAAAAGAAATAAAACATCATCCTGTCTTTTATTAATTTGTTATTCTTCCTCTAATATCACTGATATATTATTATATAGAGGATTTATGTATGATATACGTATTTATTGAAAACATTACAAAGTCATTTTGTTTTTTTTTTTTTTTTTCACATTTTATTCTTTTTCTTTTCATATTCTTTTTATTAAATCCTTAACACATACACTTAAGTAATCTCGTGCGAACGAAACTGGTAAAAATATGTAAACGAGTTAATTTTATGTTATCATAATGTACATTCTTACATTCATTCAATTAAATTTGAAATATAAAAAAATAATTTCAAAAAAACTCATTATCCATATGGAGAGAAAAAGAATTATTATCTTAAAGTTTGTATAATTTTTAACTTACTTAAATAACATTTAATAATCATTTTGTAAACATTTCGTATGGCTACAATATCAATGGATAAAAAAAAAAAAACAGATTTTTTGCACGATTGTATTTGTTTTTCTATAAGTATGTGTCAGAATTGTGTTGTAAAGATATTTTCATTTTAAGTAAAGAATTTCTATTCTATATTTTATTTTCTACTTTTTTTTTTGAAAGAGAGATCACACAAATATGTGTATATAAATAAATTCTTATAATGGTGGGAATGTTTAAACAATGCCTATGTATTAATATTACGATTGGAATATCATTCCTACTAATGTAATAGTATAAATATGCTATAATTATATTTCAATATAAAAATATGCATCTATTAGATTAGAAAGATTGATAAAAAAAAAACAGTAATTATGAATAGTTTGATATTACCTATATACAATATTTACAACTCGTGCATATTCTTATTTTAATTAACAGAAATATATATCACGAAAAATGTGGCTTAAGAGTTAATAATACTTATAAATTATTTAGTATTAAAAGGATTATTGAAAAAGTCATATATTTTATAAATATTCAATTATGTACATTACCCAAAACTTACTTTCTTCTACTTCTCAAACTACGGGCTGGTGGATTGCATGGAGTAATATTCTATAAAAAAAAAACGAAAATAGAAAAATTAAATAAAGTAATAAATATTTAATACAAAAATATATATAAAATATTTATCAAAATTGAAATTCTCAATAATAAAAAGATTTTACTAACAATTTCAACAGGATCAATATCTTGCATAAATTCGTCATCCATTACAAATAATTTCTTTTTACGCGTGACACGCTTCTTTTCAACCTTCTCACTACTCGGTGGCTCAGGTTTTACATAACGTTTACTAAAAAATAATAAACAGGTCATTAATAATAATCTATCAACGTATCATCATGTTTCACTGACAATGAGTCATTAAATATCAATACTTACCCAGATTCTGAACCTGATATATCAATGACTTCAGATTGAACTGCCATTGCAGTTTCCCTAGGTCTGCCTCTTCTTCTCGAAGAGTGTTCAACTGACAATGTTTCACTGTCAGCATTGCTTTCATCTCCTTTTTGTTTCTGTGATTCATTATCTTTTACCTAAAAACAAAAAAAGAAGAAGAAGAACATTAATTGTAGTAACAATTGTGTGTTTTGTTTTCGTGAAACATACACACATATACAAACCATTTTTTGTAAGGAATCAATACGAGATTGTAATGTCTTAATTTCATCCTTACTTGATGTTGGGGTTGTTTGTCTAAATAATAATTTTTGGAACGTCGAAACCTGTAAAATATATATTGATTAGTAAAAATATTATATATATATTATCAAATATATTTCAATATAAAGAAAATACAACTTCGCGTTTATGTTTTTCCATTTCCTCTTGTAAAGATCTAACCATAAGTTCATATTTTTCCACAGTTTTATCCCTGTTCTTTTGAAATTCTTCCATCTCATATTCCTTATTTGCTAAATCTTTTCTTAACATATCATTGAATGTTTTTAGTTGATCTATTTCGACATACTGTTCATCTTTCTCTTTTTGAGCATCTTCCAATAATTTCACGATTTGTTCTAAAGAAACCAAACGTGTTTCTAAAGTAGTCACATGCTTGTTCTTACAGGACAGTTCTTTCTTGGTATCATCCAAAATTTTAAGTGTACTCTTCAATTCTTTTTCCATAGATTTTTCTTCGTCGTCTTTAACTTGTATCATTCGTTTTAATTCTGTTAAGAATATGTTAATAATTATATATATGCATTAACAATAATATAATATATTTCTTATTTTAACAATTTAGAGCCGCGTTTACCAGAAAAAAAAAAAATCGAGAAACTTTTTACATTAATGGAGGACGTTTATTCAAATGTAAGTAATTGTAATACTTTTCTGATGTGTACATTGAATATAATAATATGAGAACTAATATTTAAAACATATGTAATGACTATATTAATATTTTATTAAAAAAGAAAACATTATTACAATTTATTAACAAAATATACTTTGCATTTGGGATACATTGATAAAGTTTTAATAATAATAACAAAATCACAAACCTTTTTGAATAGCTGATATTTCATCATCCTTATCTTTTTCTTTTTTATTAAATTCTTCTAACTTCTTTTGCAAAGCTTGCTGTTGTTCTACATTTTCTTCTACCAACGTCTCCAGAGCAGTTTTTTCTTTTTGCTTTTCATTTAAATCTATATCCATTTTAGTAATTTTTTCTTGCAATTCCTCTATAATTTTAAGATCGTTTCCTAATTTCTTTAAAGAGAAATAATAACAGTAATACATTTGTTTAGATTAATGAAGAAATATCATTTGTTTGTGTTAATATTTTTAAATATTATATTATAAATTACATGTACCTCTTTGTATTCAGTTTCTATTTCGTTAAATTTCGTTTTTAGTTCTTTATATTCCTTTTCCCTTTCTTCATAATTCGTATCATCAATCGTTTGAATGGATATATTTTTTACATCATTTTCTAAGATACTAGTTTGTAAAATTACTTCTTGTGTGAGTAATGTAATAGTTTGGCAACTTTTATCTTCCTTCGATGTTGATTCTTCACATTTCGTCGGGGTTAATTTTTTTTCTAATTCTTCTATAAGATTAATTGTAATTTATTTTTCCGGAAGAAAAACAAAAGAATGATATAATTTGGTTTTAATCTAATTATATATTATTAAACAGATAATCGTATACCAATTATTATTCTTTCTTCAGAAATATTTTTCTTTGTATCCGAAGTATCTACTTTGTCTTCCAATTGTGTTTCATCTTCCTCAGTTAATTCTTCTTTTACAATTACATCCGGAGAAAAATTGTTTCCTTTATTTTTTTCTGACTTGCTTAAAGTCTTCATAAAAGAAGAATAAAAAAGAAAGAGATAAAATATTAAAATAATTGTCAACACATTTAAAAGAAAAATCAAAGTTTTTATAAATTAAAAAAGATATATATGTAGAGTATACATACTTCCTGCTTGCAAGAAATATCTTCATTGCTTTCATTCATTACCTCCAACATATTTTTTAATTGAATTATTTTATCTGCCATCGTTTGATTATTCTCTTCTAATTTTTCAATCGTTTTAGCTTGTTCTGAAAGACAGTAATTTGTTCGATCAATTTGTTCTTGCATATCGTCTATCTTGTCTTCATATTCTATTATTATTTCTTCTTGTTCTTTAATTTGATTTTCTTTTTCTCGAGCATCATTTGTAATAACAATATATTCCTCTTTTGCTTCGTTCAAAAATTCTTTAAGTTTCTAAAATATTGTATATAATATTCTATTATAAATAATCAATGTATTATTATTTATTATGACTACAAAATGTTACGCTGAAAATAATTACCTTCACATGATTTTCCTTAGCAGACAACTGTAATTTAATCTCTTCTATATAATGTTCTGTTTCTTCGTCGTGACAGAGATCTTTCTGAGCAGCATCCAATAAACATTTGGTATATTTTAATTCTTCCTTTGTTAAACTCAATTCAAATTCAGTTTTATGTTTTTCTACCTTCAAAACTTGATTAGTTTTTTTTAATTCATGAATAGTATCTTGCATAGATCCTAATTTATTATTCAAACGAGAAATTTCATATTCTAACTCTTTAATATCTTTCGAATTTTTATTATTACTATCATCATCATCATCATCTTCTTCTACAGATCGTACCCTTTTTCGAGTATTTAACTTAATTTTTTGTTTATAAAATTCTTCAACTTGTTTAATAGACCATTGTAGAGTATCTTCTTGTTGTTCTTCAACATCTCTTATGCGAGCCCTATATATTATTATGAATATAGTAATACATATTGATATGAAAAAATACATTATCTACGCATGAATACATACTTCCAATCATTCTCAAGCTTCTTTATGATGGCAGTATAAGTGTCCACCATTTCCTGTCGAATTTCGAAGTCACGAGTTAAAGCCATATTTTTTAAATTCGTAATCTCCTTCTTTAATTGTTTATTTGTTAATAATAAGTCTTCGTATTCTTCAGAAGAAATAAACTTAATTTCATCCGTCTCTATCTCTGTATCCACATCTGTATTTAACCAATCTATTATTATTCAAAATCACATGGTATCTATCCAAAATGAAAATGATTTAGCTAATAATACATATTATATTATCACCTGTACTTTCCAAAGTTATAGCGTCCCAATTTGTTACACTTTGCATACTTTTCTGAACTAGTTTAGAAAATCTTGAATGAGCCTTTCTTTTTTCTTTTATTTTAGGTTCTATGATTATTTTCTTTGCAATTGCTGCAAAATTCAATACATTTTGTGTTTCTGTATAAAGATTTGGTAAAGGATTAACATTAACAATTAAAGCAATATGTTCTCTCCCTGATAATGCTCTTTGATATAATCTTGTTAATTTCGATTCCCTGAATGGTCCAATGACGGGTTCAGTTTTTAATTTGGTTAATTGAGAGTCGTAAATTGATTTTAAACATTTCCCTAGAACCAAGAGACTTGTATTGATATTTTGAGCTTCTTTTAATCTATCACCAATATTTAATGTCTTTTTTAAACGCTCAGAACCAGCCAAATCACAAAAAGAAAACCTGTTTGAAAAGAAAAGAAAAACCATAATGAATAATTTAATATTAAAATTCAATCAAGCAAAATGTTCAAATACATACGTGCTTAAATCTACTGAACCAGTTAAATTTTCAGAATAATACTTCAATAGTTTGATAGTAAATATGCAATGAGATCTTGAGCTTCTTGCATTTAAAGCTGTTGCAGCAACTTTCAAATTATATTGACCAGCCATTAAAACTTGATAGGCTTCTGCACCAGAGTTAACATAAACATTATTCAAACCTTTGATGAATGCTCTTCCATGATTATCAGTTGCTAGTTTTAATGGTACTTTCTTTTTTTGACAATCAATAGTTAATAGATCATATATAGTTTCATTATATATCTCTGCAAAAGATACCCATACCGAATAATGAGCATCTGTGCATTCGCTAGCTCTCAATGGTGACTCTTCTTGTAATATTTGTTGCATTTGCTTGTAAGTATTAATATATTGATTTTTATCTACCGAACTAAAACTTAACAATTTAGTTTTAGCTTCTAACTCTTGAGCTCGTTCAAGAGAACTAAGAAATATTGCATCGCTATGGTGTATAGGTTTATACGAAGGTATAGACTTTGGAGAAATTATAGAAAATACAAATTCTAAGGCACGTGGTATGATACCAGGAGATGTGATTGTTCCTTGCAATGTATGTGACTTTCCAGAGTTTGTTGTACCTATAGAAACATGATTTGTTCACATAAAATATATAGATAAATATAAATAAGAATTTTGAATATATAGTGCTTACCATAAGTCATCACATTACAACTCTGTCCTGCTAAGAAATCTACCATTTGTTGCTTAATCACTTGATCAAATAATTGTAACTGCGTTATTTCTGGTCCAAATGTTTGAGTGAAGGTATAAGTTCTACATGCTATATCACTATTTTTAGTTCTTGCAAAACTACTGTTACTCTCTAAATATGGTAGCTTAGTTACCAAAGTAGTGGAATTAATTATTTTATAAGCATCTTCTTGTTCAGGTGTTAATCTGATTTTTCTTGGAAATGGCTTTAAGCGTAAGTAGACTTTAAGTGTTTTTAAAGATTGCGAATCAGAAAGTGAGGATTGTGTGATTTCAGTTGAATCAAATTCTTCTATTTCATACGCAGAAAGTAGATTTTTTTTTGTTTCTTGAGATGGACATGGTCTTTGTCCGTATGCTAAAATACTAGGATCTCTGCCAAATAAATACGACATTTCTTCACGTGTATGATCTTTATCTGGTAGTCGTATTGAATCTAATACATTATTCATCTACACAAATGAAATATCTTACATTAATAAAATATTTCATGTTTTTATTAAACATTTATATCACATGCTTTAATTCCACAAAAAATATATATATATATAAATAATAATAAATATATTTATATATATATAATATATAAGATATAAAATTAATTTAATAAATATACAGACATTAGTATATTGTAACTAAATAAAAATGTAGAAATTAAAACATAAAGAATCGGCATACTTTCCAAATACAAATCGTTAGTATACAAAATTCAAAATGTTTGTGTTAATAACTAAACAATTACCTTTGTTAAATATAATATTTATTTCTATATCATATCTATCTTTTCACTAAACAAGAACTATTGTATATTGTTAGAAATCTATGAAGCAAATTCATGCAAGTTTTAAGCGAGAATCAGTCGTTGATATTCCTTCTCTTTTCGTAAATCGTCTTCTAACTGTAGCGTTAAACGGTTTTTGCTTTATTTCAAACATCCCACAACAATAATCAAACTCATTCTGATTGGTAAAAAGATCGTGTAGCTCCCTCTAGCATTATAGTTAATTTTCCTCTAGTATTGCTTCGTTCGTTCCTTTTTATACGACCAATGATTTCTTCGGAAAGCATAGATACAAAAAAGAGCACCAATCAGAAAGTCGGAAATATGCAAGATATCGTAATATAACTACCAATCACTTTTCTTTGTTTTATTATTTCTATTTCTATTGACAATACTTTGAATCATAAATGCATAATCAGTTCTTTACAATAAAGCCTCAAATTTATTAGGAAAAAAAAAAACAACAGAAACAAAGTTGTACACTTATGTATAATATGTATATATAATTATTATTTATTTTTTATTTCATATTAAGTTTATTTGATAAAAGAAGAATATTGAAACAATTCTTTTTTTTTTTTATTGAATTACATTTAATACTATAATCATAATGATAAAATCTATATTGTAAATAACAGCATATTTGGAAATAAACAAAATGAAAGAACGAACAAACAAATTGATAATTTATTTTATATAGTATTTTTTGAGGATATTTTTCGCTCTGTAAAACTTATAGAAACAAACAAACTGAAGGATACACATGTATGTATAACAAGTTGATTTCTATAACATATAATTATTATTATTTAATTAAATATAGCAGAGAACACGTTTAGTTATATGATATTACTATCCATATTAAAAGCAATAATTGTTATTAAATAACGTAAAAATTTGCGAAATAGAAATTATTATATTTTAAACTATTAATTAAGATATTTTATTGTTGTTTGGTAAAACGCTGATCTTTGTTAGCTGCTTTTTGTTTCTGAAGATACATTATATAGGAAGAAGTTGGATATCGTGAATTCCTATTTAACATCTTATTTTTAAAAAAAATTGTAGTAGGAGAAACATTTTGTAATCGTTTCTTTGTTTTTTGTAAATTAGTAATATTAAATTCTGTTGTACTACCAGAATTTGAAGAAACTCCTCTTGCTTTCGTAACATAGCTTACTACAAATCCACTCTTTGTCATAGATGTATGTGACTTTGTCATTTGTTGCACAGATTTATCTAATAATTTCTGCTTTTTGAAAGGATTAGTCGGTACATCAGAGAGATTTTCTATAACATCAGCAGGAAGTCGTTTAATTCCTTGTGTAGAGATCTTGGTCATTATTTGATCTGATTTTCTTACTTTAATTTCTTTCTCTTGTTGCTGTATTCTTGGCGATTGGTCTTTTCGATTATTTTTTGTCCTTCCTGTAAATCCACTCTTTGTCATTTGTTGCACAGATTTATCTATTAATTTCTGTTTTTTGATAGGATTAGTCGGTACATCAGAGAGATTTTCTATAACATCAGCAGGAAGTCGTTTAATTCCTTGTGTAGAGATCTTGGTCATTATTTGACCTGGTTTTTTTACTTTGTTTTCTTTCTCTTGTTGCTGTATTCTTTGCGATTGGTCTTTTTGATTATTTTTTTTCTTATCTCTGTCAGCTTTTATCTTTTCAATTGCAAGTTTGGCAGCTTCTAAAGCTTCATGTTTTGATCTAATGAATTGAGTACTTGAAGGTCTTTTAACAGATTCTTCTGCATCTGGACTTTTAATTGTATCTTTCCGTAATAGTTTTTTTGATTTTTCTTTTACCTGCAATGTTGAAACTTCTGAAGTTACCTTTGCTGTCTTTTTATTTGGAATGTTATCAATCTCAGCCATAGTCATAAGCTTTTCATTACTCTTATCTTGAATTTCTATATTTTTCTTATATTTATTCTTTTTCTTCTTGTTCTTGGTCTTACTTTCATTATTACTAGATACATTTTCCATTTCTTCATCTTTATCCATATTTTTCTTCGCCATTGGAGTAGTAGCAATATTTGCTGTCTCCAATTCCTTCTTAGCATTTTTATTCTTTTTATTTTTCTTACTTTTCGTTGTCTTTTTCTTATCATCATTTTTAAGTTCACTTTCAAAGTTTTCGTTTTCATTGTCAGATCCATTATATTTTTCCAATTTGGTACTTACTTTATTTTCTTTACTTTTCAATTCAGTTTGATCATTTAGATCAATCATTTCTGCAGATCTTTTCCTTTTAGTTGATGCAGATGAGCTCGATTCTAGTTCCTCAATGACATCTGCAGTAATAGTTTTCGAATTTTCATCTTCTTCTCTAGTATTTTCTTTATGATCATTGATATCGATTGTTTTAGAGACATTTTTCTTATCTTCTAATTTAATATTTGGAAAGCTATCATTTAACTTTTCTTTCCTTAAAAATTTTGTCTTAGGTGTTATCTCGGTGCATTGTGATAGTGATTTATTTAAACGGTTCTTAGATAATAACATTTTAGAAAATGTTTGATCATCAAATAATTCTGTATAACTTGCCGAAGAGCTAGTTTTTATAGAACATTTCTTTTTTGTAGTTTTTAAATTACTCATTGTTGATGTATTTATCTCAGAATTATCAGCAGATAGATTTTTTGTATGTACTTTCTCTTGTTCCTCATTTGTTAAAACTTTATCTGTAGATTTCCTATCGTTTTCCCCTTTAGAAGTATTATGTCTTAATTTTTGCTTTGATAAGACATCGATTTTAGGAGTACTACATGTCAATGAGATATTAGGTTCTTTATTCTTTTTTGTAAATGTCGTATCATTTTGAGTTTCTTGCGTAGCTTCATTATTCTTTTTCTTTTCACTTTTGACATCAGAAATATTCAATTTTTTATTTGAAGATCCTTTATTTGTTTTCTCGTCATCTATTTCCTTATCCTCTTCTTCACAAGATATTGTAGTATTCTTGCTATCTATTTCTTTTGTTTTATTCATATTTTCGGATAGTTTTGTATTTTCTTTGTCTTCTTCCTGCTCTTCAACTTCCATTTCAATTTCAACTTCTTCTTCTTCTTCTTCTTC